TACAGCTGGGGAAAAATGATATAAGGATTACGGTAGGATGGGCGGAAGGAGGGAAGCGTGGGTCCTAAGGATGTAGTTATGCATAGCTCCTCTCTGCAAAGAAATGTTCTTTTGCTCTTTCTCTCTTTAGGATATTCTCCGGTATTGTTCCTCTCTCTCGTATGCGTTCAGGACGCGAAAGAGGAATAGAAAATGAGGAGGGAACGGGAAGGAGAAGAAGGGGAGGAGGAGGAGACGGAGGGGAAGGGAGGTTCACAGGCTGTTCTTTTGTTCCGCTTCTCTCTTTCGGAATCGGGATAGAGAGAGAACACACGATAACAAGCATAGCGCTGATAACAGTGGCATTGGTCGGAATCAGGATAGAGAGAGAACACACGATAACAAGCATAGCGCTGATAACAGAGGCAATCAGGATAGAGAGAGAACACACGATAACAAGCATAGCGCTGATAACAGTGGCATTGGTCGGAATCAGGATAGAGAGAGAACACACGATAACAAGGCATAGCGCTGATAACAGAGGCACGGAATCAGGATAGAGAGAGAACACACGATAACAACATAGCGCTGATAACAGAAAGGATAGAGAGAGATAACAAGCATAGCGCTGATAACAGTGGCAAATCAGGATAGAGAGAGAACGATAACAAGCATAGATAACAGTGGCAGGTCGGAATCAGATAGAGAGAGAACACACGATAACAAGCATAGCGCTGATAACAAATCAGGATAGAGAGAGAACACACGATAACAAGCATAGCGCTGATAACAGTGGCATTGGTCGGAATCAGGATAGAGAGAGAACACACGATAACAAGCATAGCGCTGATAACAGTGGCACTGGTCGGAATCAGGATAGAGAGAGAACACACGATAACAAGCATAGCGCTGATAACAGTGGCAAATCAGGATAGAGAGAGAACACACGATAACAAGCATAGCGCTGATAACAGTGGCATTGGTCGGAATCAGGATAGAGAGAGAACACACGATAACAAGCATAGCGCTGATAACAGAGGCATTGGTCGGAATCAGGATAGAGAGAGAACACACGATAACAAGCATAGCGCTGATAACAGTGGCATTGGTCGGAATCAGGATAGAGAGAGAACACACGATAACAAGCATAGCGCTGATAACAGTGGCATTGGTCGGAATCAGGATAGAGAGAGAACACACGATAACAAGCATAGCGCTGATAACAGTGGCATTGGTCGGAATCAGGATAGAGAGAGAACACACGATAACAAGCATAGCGCTGATAAACAGATTGGTCGGAATCAGGATAGAGAGAGAACACACGATAAAGCATAGCGCTGATAACAGTGGCATCGGAATCAGGATAGAGAAACACACGATAACAAGCATAGCGCTGATAACAGAGGCATCGGTCGGAATCAGGATAGAGAGAGAACACACGATAACAAGCATAGCGCTGATAACAGAATCAGGATAGAGAAGAAACACACGATAACAAGCATAGCGCTGATAACAGAATCAGGATAGAGAAGAACACACGATAACAAGCATAGCGCTGATAACAGTTTTAGCGCTGATAACAGATTATCAGGATAGAGAGAGAACACACGATAACAAGCATAGCGCATTGAATCAGGATAGAGAGAGAAACCACATAACAAGCATAGCGCTGATAAGAGAATCAGGATAGAGAGAGAACACACGATAACAAGCATAGCGCTGATAACAGAGCATATCAGGATAGAGAGAGAACACACGATAACAAGCATAGCGCTGATAACAGAATCAGCAGAACACAACGATAACAAGCATAGCGCTGATAACAGAATCAGCACACGATAACAAGCATAGCGCTGATAACAGAATCAGGATAGAGAGAGAACACACGATAACAAGCATAGCGCTGATAACAGAATCAGGATAGAGAGAGAACACACGATAACAAGCATAGCGCTGATAACAGCTTAACAAGCATAGCGCTGATAACAGAGGCAATCAGGATAGAGAGAGAACACACGATAACAAGCATAGCGCTGATAACAGAATCAGGAGAGAGAGAGAGCACACGATAACAAGCATAGCGCTGATAACAGAATCAGGATAGAGAGAGACACACGATAACAAGCATAGCGCTGATAACCAAAGCAACAGCATGATCCCCGGCGCTGACAAAATCGCTGACAGTGACGCCAGACCCAACGGCGATGGCGCTAATGTAAACAATATGTTACGGTATCATAGAACGGCCGCAATTATGATGACGATCGTGACGATGAAAATGACATAATTAACAAATGAAAATATTGATGTCAATTCCAACAGTATTCCGAAATGAGCCTTTCATCATTACCATCACGAGAGCTTTGATGATAACCACCCGTGGGAATGATCATTTTACGTAATATTAAAGAGGAAATGATAAAGCACTGCACGGGGGGGGGGGGGGGGGAATTTGATGTTTTATTCAGAATCATTATTTTTAAGGATTACGGATGTTTAACATCATACGCGTTCCAAACAG